GTAAAAAAATATCTAATTAGTAAATAATTTCAGGCTTGAAAGTATTTTAAAGTTTGCATTAAAGTATTTCGGCACTATACATTACGGCATTATGGCATTACGGCATTACGGCATTATGGCATTACGGCACAAAAGAATTATGGCAAAAAATACGGCACATGCCATTGCCGTATTAATTTACAAAACCAATTCTACCAACAACTATAGGTATGCATAACAAACTAATTACACAAAAACAATTCCACAAAAAAAAAAATTAATCACCTTTAACTAAAAATTAAATAAATAACTAGAAACACATAATTGAAAATAATCAATGAATAACCAAAATAAATAATAACAGATTAACGTGATCTTACTGGTCTTGCGCCGCGTCACACATTGCGCAGCTACCTTAATTAGTTAAAAGTTGCTAAAGTTTAGTATAGAGATTTTAGTTGAGCTGTTTGACATTAATTAGTTTAATTAGTTTTGTTAATAATATTTTGGCCTTGAGTGAGGTAGAGTATTCTAAACAAATACAAGTGAATTATTTTCTGATGTTTTATTCACTGGTATTAATTTCAAAGGAATATGCTTTATTATTTAGCATTTGAAAATGGTCGCAGTTAGTGAATATTTGATACTAAACACGAACTAGGTCAATTAATTTTGTTCATTGTTTATTAAATTAAGATAATTATCTTAACTTCATTAGTAATACTTATTACATTGTTTTGTTATCATAACAAATTAAGGTTGCAAGAGTATTTAAATTCGTATATCTTAATTATCAAAAAATTAACTTTCATATTTCATTTAAATTTAAATAATATATTTAGATGATATTAGGTACGAATTATACACATATTAACTTGATATAAAGAATACCTTTCCGTCATGTGTATTCTTAATAGATAATTGGTTGAATGAAGGGTGATATATTTAATAGTTCTTTAATAAATAAAAAAAGGAAGTTCATATATGATGTAGTAAATTATATATTTAATATGGTTTGGGATGTTGTAATTTTCTGTTTGGTAGATAGTGTGATAGACGGATAATAGCATTTTTAATATATAAGTGTGTGAGTGAAAACTCGTAATTAATGATAGTAAGTCATTAAATTTACTTGTAGGTTTTCATTTGCAGGCAGTCATATCAGATATAGGATTTCGCATGTATGTACGTAAATATATATTTTATTAATGATGAAATCAAAGTTTAATTCTAGTATTTAAGAGCTTTGATCGTTAATCTAAATTTTTTTTTGTTATTTTTACTAACAGAAAATAAGAGATATATGGGATATGAAAAGTAGATAAACAATATTATTTTTGCGAAAATTTATACTAAAGGAGTTCCTTTATTATAAGTGAAGTTTTGAATTTTTTAAAAAATTTGAAAAATGGTGTATAATATTTCGTTTGTCAGTATCAAAAATCCAAATACACTGTGAGTGTTGTCCACTATATAATGTTACATAAATCTTTGAATAAAGTTGTTAAGACCATTATTATATAAGGTGGTTAACTGAACATATTCCCTGATCACTGTAGAATCTGTTTTTATAGAATCTGGATTGAATGTAGTAATATCTAATAAGTCCCATGAAGGAGATCTACTAAGCGCTACATACGCTTGGCCGTATGTAAATATTTGATCATCGATCACTACTGAGATGTTAGATATAGATAATCCTTGGGTTTTATGTATTGTAAGTGCGAAGGCATTCTGTAATGGAAATTGATTTCGATTTGCAGACATACCATTTAAAGTAAATCGTTTAGTTGTTCTCCTTATTGTTGCAGTAATCATATTTTGTGATGTTGGAAATATAGCATTAATTGTATTTTCATCAATCAGTTTAGTGATGACACCAATGGTTCCATTACAAAGGCCATGATCGAATAGAGTGTTGTCAAGATACATAACACAAGAACCTTTCTGTAAAATTAATGTTGTGGGTAAATTTGTGTGATGGCGAAAGGTTCGATCATTTTCTAACGCATCCCATTCTTCACAATTAATATGATCAATTGCAGTTGAAATAATGGGTTCAGGATCATCAGGTTTCAAGGGTAAGGCTAGGCATGTTAGCTTATTTATATTATCTGCCATGGCACAGGATCCAACTATATGTGTAGTATCGATTATAGAGCGAGACGATGGATTTTTTATTTTATCATTAATTATTTGTAGTGTCATAGGTGATATAATTCCTGCACAGATTTCTTCTAATATCCTGTAAAAATTTATGTCCTGATTTTGTCTATGTGGTGTTGTTAGGAATATAGAAAAAAATTCAGACCAAACAGGTGATTTAAAAACTTGAGCGCTGTTTATTGGAGGTAATTGCGCAAGGTCACCGATAAGCAGAACTTTAATTCTACCAAATGGTAAAGCATTATTATGTAAACGAGCAAAAAGACCACTTATGAATGTTAGTAAACTCGCTGATACCATAGATATTTCATCGATTATTATAACTTTAATGCTTAGAAGGTATTGACAATGTTCTTGATTATTTAAAGCTAAACTCATATGGTTAGTAGAGGATGGTCTAATTTTAAGTTGAGAATGTATAGTTTTACCATTTATATTTTGTGCAGTGACTCCCGTTGGTGCCATTATCAAATAATTTTGATGCTGTGATCGAAGATGATTTATAATCAGTTTTATTAAGTATGATTTATCAGTTCCTGCTGAACCAGTCAGAAAAAAGTACAGATGACCATGTTCACCTATATATCGCTATGCCGAAATTAATATATTAAATGCAGTGTATTGATCAGGTGGTGTTTCCAGTAGTGATTGAGAGGGATGGAAGTTGGAGAACTCATCAATACTTTCAGCTGATTACAAATAATAGTTGCAATATCTTGGTGCATATTATGCACTATTTTGTCTATTTGTCACTGATAATTGTGAGAAAACCTAATAAGATTCGCGGTTGTAGATTGGGTAACGTTCTGTACAGCTTGAGTATATTTTTCAGAAAATTTAGCATGATAATGTGCTCAGTAATTAGTATAGGATCCTAACAGTTCTTCTTTGCTTCTCCAAGGTAATTGAATCAAGAGTTGTTGATAGTAAATGGTTCACCATCTTCAACTGCTAAACTTTGAAATCAGACTAGAATTGATTTTTTTTATTGAATTACATATTTTCCTTGTTGGTTAGTCCAGTGCCTAATATTCACATTCGGCCGATTGGACTGTATTCGATAGTGCTGATGATAATGTGGATAGATAATGTTATCAAAGTGTGGATCATTTGGTCTAAGAAAGTACTTGTTAATGGCATCTGCTCAGTACGGATTTGAATTTTCTATATTTAACAGATAGACAGGTTTTATGCATTTTGATCAAGTACTTGGTGGAGTAGATGGTAAAAATTCAGTAGCAATAGTGGAATGGCAAATAGAATAACCAAGCAGAAGGACCATTAATTCCATAGAACCAAGTCTCTGTGCTAATACATGTGATCTATACATATTATATTCTGTTAAGCTAAATAAATCTGATTTTTCAGGTTTTGTAATATATTTGGTCATGTTTTAGCAAAAGATTTAGAAGTAACATATTGGAAATTACAATGCCCTTGCCATAGCATTAATGTAGATGCATGATAAGGTACAATCCATCGGTCTATTTCTTTTGTCTGCCTATAAGTGTAATGTAAAGAAGTGGAATCTATGAAAGTATATTCTGATAGTGGAGCAGGAAATTTTTTTTTACATTGTTCTCCAGGAAGTGGCGGTCCACCACATTTATTCATACAGCATCGATAGATTTGGTGAGTACGTACTAGATTATAAAGAACTGGTTCGGTCTGAGGATCAGGCAAATCAGCACGAATAACATTATGATCTATTAGAGTAGAAATTGGTACATTAACATATGCTATACCATGAGTATGTATTGTGCCATGGTTTTGAAATTCATCTCTTTCAAAATGGTGTAACCATTTACCCCATTCAGCTAAATTTTCGTTTTTCCACAACAGATTTCGAATAGAATTTAGTCTATGGTGGTAATAAAGGTATGCGTGTAGAGGACGGTTTGTTGGTAAAGTACAACGATCATCAGTACATGATAAAATTCTTGTTAACTGTAGCCATCATCCCCCAGCCATAGTTGTAGTATAAAAAATTTGAGGTAACCCAAAGCTTTGGACCATTGCATTTATTAAATGCTCACGTTGACGAAAATACGTATTTCCATTCGTATGTAAGAGGGAATTGTGGTGGTTAACCTTTCATCAATAATCGAATGATTGGTATAAATGCTTCGATTAATTAAATCTGCAATTGTTGGTAGTTGTTGATGATTTGTCTCTCGTTGACGTAAAATACGTTGTCTATTCTGATGGTTCCGCAGTTTTTCTAAATTAATATAGGACCAATGTGGCCAGTACCAGTGTAACTGAAACCTGGCATCTGAACACATTAGTCGAAGTTTAATATATTTGGCATATGTGTCGATATGATGTCGACGATTTGTCATTTCTTTAGAGAGTTCGCCCCAATGGCCGTGTCCATTAGGAAAAAGATCTAGAAAGAGTATTGCTTCCAAATTAGGATAATTGAAACGAATAGGTATTTCTTTGTTAACTGAATTTCTTACAAATCCTGCTATCAATCTGTTGTAATGAAAATCTTCATTATGAATTTCGGTATAAAAATTATCAGGGGGAACTATTAAGTCTGGTTGATGCATAATATTGTATTATTAGTTACTATATTTCCTTTATTGTTAATTAGTCGCGATATAGGAAAATTAGCCTGCGGACACGTAATATTAATTGAAGAAAATACATGATTAAACCGTCTAAAGAGATGGTTATTGGCTTTTAGCCAATCAGCAGCATGTATTAAAGAAGGATGAAACCAGTTATTATTAGAAGAATTATCTAATATTGCATCTAATGCACCTGAGTAAAGCTGCAGAGCGCAAATGTTTTGTGTTAATCCAAATGAACCTGTAAGATGGCAATAATGTGTAAATCGATTTGCATTTTCAGCACATCCAAGAGAGCAGCTTAGATGAACAGATGAGAGCCATCGACAATGAAACATTGGAATATTTACTAGTATTTCTGGGATTGGTGCTAAAATTAGAGCATTATGCCGTTTAGTAATAGACATGCATGGAACACATATTGCAACATATCCATCCTTATTTGAATGTTCAGTATGTGACAAGTGCAGAAACGCTTGATAAAGACCATAAGTTATATTAATATCATGAGGAATCCATTTTGCTTGAGTCGGAAACATAAGAATCGAACAATGTGAACAGGGAACACATAGGAAAAGATATAAAATTTTATTTTGAAAATGGTCATTAAGACTATTTAGAGAGCATGAAGGTTGCTAAAGAGGAAAGAAGTTCACAAGATTCTGTTGTTGTCGCATGACTGGTACTAAATTAGGAGCCTGTGGATGGTCTGCATTAACATCTAATTGTGCCTGATAACTGGATAAAAAATCATTATTCAATTCATTATAAAGATCACCATCATTTAAATTTTCAATAGTGATTTGAATTATTGGAAGCGACATTATAAAATTGAATAGAGTGAGATTATAAAAAATTAAATGAATTAATTTCTTGTAATATTATGTTTAGTGATATATAATAATAAGAAAAAAAATTCCAGTAGTGTTAATGTGAGTTTTTTTAAAAAAATCAAAAGATTTACAATGGCAAATACTGATATTAGTATCAGCGATAATTACGTCAAGATAGAAGTATAAGTTGTAAATTCATTATTTGAGTTATTTTTCTTTAAATTGGAAAAGAGTTTATTTATACAAAATTCGTAGTATGATTATTAATTAATATTTTATAATACAGCAGATTAATCATTTGAATATAAGAAGGGTTAAGGTAAAAGGTGAAATAAGCAAATACAG